GTTCATGAGCGGAGACTGGGGACCTGCCTCGGAAGTGGGAGGTGGCTTGTGGTGGGGAGGAGGAGGAGCTGGAAACCTGTCTTTACAATGGGAGGGGCTTGGCTGCTGCAGGGGGTGGGGCCTTGGGTGGAAGAGGCGGGGCTGGGGGAGTTGTCTCATCCACCGCCCATGTCCTGCGCGGATGCTTTCCTGGACGGCGGGGTGGCCCAGAGGGCAGCAACCAAGAACCTCGTCACCATCCCCATGAGCAAGTTCTCTGGGGGCAAAATTCCCCTCTCGGATGCAGCCAGAGCGGGTTGGTGCCTCTGCGGGCTCCAGGGCAGCGTCTGAGCCTTTAATTTAGGGCCCTGGCATTTTCAGGACCTGCAGGGACCTGCCCGCCCCCTCCAAAGGGTTCACCCTCCCACTGGGCTGGCCTGGCCTTTCCCTGTTTCCCTTGCTCGCCCCTGGCCCCCCGGCAGTGCTGCACTCTGGGCGGCCGCTGTGCCGTGTGACAGGAGGCACCTTGCTCACAGGCACCTCCTGCGGGCGCCACTTTTTCCGACTGCCCCGGGGCTCTGTCTGCATGTAGCGGGCACAAAACAGGCTTTTGATTCTCCTCCCCCCTGGCTGTCCCATAGGAGACCTGAGGCAGATGGTTCCCCTAGAGCCGCTGGGCCGCCGAGGTTCCAGCAGGCTCCAAAGTGTTGGCTGAGGTCCTGGAAGAACAGCGAGGAGCCTAATCTGGGGAAGAGCTGGTGGCCCCGCAAGGCAGCGGGGGAGGGGCTGTCTGGTCACAGCTGCCCCACAATACACAGGCGGGCTGGGCACTGACCTAAGTTTGCAGATGATCCCAAGCTGGGAGGGGTTGCGACTGCTCTGGAGGATAGGGTCACAATTCAAAATGATCTGGACAAATTGGAGAAATGAGGTAAATAGGATGAAGCAGAACAGGGCTGGCAAGCAGGATGAGGTAAATAGGATGAAGTTTAATAAAGACAAATGCAAAGTGCTCCACTTAGGAAGGAACCATCAGTTTCACACATACAGAATGGGAAGCGACTGTCTAGGAAGGGGTACGGCAGAAAGGGATCTAGGGGTCAGAGCGGACCACAAGCTGAATATGAGTCAGCAGTGTGATGCTGTTGCAAAAAAAGCAAACATGATTCTGGGAGGCATTAACAGGTGTGTTGTGAGTAAGACACGAGAAGTCATTCTTCCGCTCTACTCTGCGCTGATTAGGCCTCAGTTGGAGTATTGTGTCCAGTTCTGGGCACCGCATTTCAAGAAAGATGTGGAGAAATTGGACAGGGTCCAGAGAAGAGCAACAAGAATGATGAAAGGTCTAGAGAACATGACCTATGAAGGAAGGCTGAAAGAATTGGGTTTGTTTAGTTTAGAAAAGAGAAGACTGAGGGGGGACATGACAGCAGTTTTCAGGTATCTAAAAGGGTGTCCTAAGGAGGAGGGAGAAAACGTGTTCATCTTGACCTCTGAGGATAGAACAAGAAGCAATGGGCTTAAACCGCAGCAAGGGAGGTTTAGGTTGGACATTAGGAAAAAGTTCCTAACTGTCAGGGTGGTCAAACACTGGAATAAATTGCCCAGAGAGGTTGTGGAATCTCCATCTGTGGAGATATTTAAGAGCAGGTTAGATAAATGTCTATCAGGGATGGTCTAGACAGTACTGGGTCCTGCCATGAGGGCAGGGGACTGGACTCGATGACCTCTCGAGGTCCCTTCCAGTCCTAGTATTCTATGATTCTATGTCTTGAGGAAACGATGCCCCCAACATGGCTTTGACCAGCTCCTTTGTTGCTTGGGGTTTTGCTGCTCTGCCTCCGCAGCCCACGGGGCAGGAAACAGGCGGGATTCTGTGTCCGTGAGTCATAAATCTCGAAGGTGGGAAAGCTGGCAGGCCGGCCAAACATTCCCCTCATTTTCCACCGGCCCTGCCCTCCCTCGGATCCGCCCGCTTCCCAGCCGGGCTGGGCTGCCCATCGGCCTGCCCCTTACTGGAAGCACAATGGGAGAGCGAGACAAGAGGAACATGGTTTCTCAATCAAGTCCCACACCTCTCAGGGGGCAGCGGAGGTCAAATGCAGAACGGAGCAGCTCCCTTCCCCTTGAACGCGTTCCAGCTGCCTCTTCCTGAGTGGCAACATTCACGGGGATGCGGAAACCCCTCTGCGGCCACGCTCGGCGCACCCGGGGCAGTGAGCAGGTGTCCTGCTGCGTTAGATGTCCATACAAGGCAGTAAGAACTGGCCGCTGGAAATTAACAAGGAGGCCAGGCTGGGGTGGGGAAGAGGCTGTGGTGGGCATGGGGGAGTTAGGGACAGGCCGTGGATGACGTGGAGGAGCTGGCTAGGTGGGGAGTCAAATGACTCAGGGATGATCTAGATCAATGTTTCTTAAAACTTTTTAAGACCGAGGAACACCAAACACCAAGGATTTTTGGTTGAGGGGAAAGAAAAAGGGCTGGGGGAAAGTTATTGACCACAGATTGAGAAACACTGATCTAGATGGTGCTTGGTCCTGCCGTGAGGGCAGGGGACTGGACTTGCGAGGTCCCTTCCAGTTCTAGTGTTCTCCGATTCTGTGAAAGGCCCCCAAGGTTGAGTTGGGGGATTGCGTGAGCCCAGACCCTGGCTCTCCTGCGTCATGCGCAGCTGGTGGGTGACTCCGGGGGCGTGGAGTGGGGTGATACACGGGGAGCCCACCTCCACGTTAGGGTCTAGGTCCCTGGTGAGTTCACCCTGGTGTTTGCAAGCGTTGTTTGTGCATCCCGGAGAAGGGGGGAGGCTGCATTGGGACTGCGCCGTGGGGCGAGCTGCTGGGGGTGGCATAGCCTAGATTTGCAACTATTTTACATGCACCCAGGCGCGGGGTTTGGGGCTGATGCTGGCCAGGTGTCCGCATCTTTGATCCTGTAGCTACTTTACAGGCGGCTGCTCCTAACCCTTGGGCTGGTTAAGCCAGCAAAGGTGCTTTCACTCGGACCTTTGTGGGGAAGGCTTTAGGGAGCTTATGAGACCACACGAGCTCACGGACGCTGTGTAGGGTTGCCAGGTGTCCGGTATTGGCCTGGACAGTCTGGTATTTACGGCCTCTGTCCGGTAAAAAAACCCCAGAAAATACCAGACATGTCAAATGTCCGGTATTTTCTGTTTTTCTCGGGTGGAAGGATCACTTGGGACATTCTTCCACTGCCGTGTCTGGTGGGGGCGGGAGGAACAAAGCATGGGGATTTAAAGGCACGGCGACTCTTTTATTGTGTGCAACTCTTTTATTTAGTTATTTATTTATTTGCTCAACAATTTTGGTTCCCCTCCCCCCTCCTCTTTTTTTTTTTTTGGCTCAACCAAGTTTTTTCCTGCGGTGTTCGGTAGTTTTTGTGGAAGTATCTGGCAACCCTAGTGTTGTGTTGCTTTTTTCCCTCTGCCTCCCCCCACGGCTCCGTACGCCCTGCCGCCCTGTCCCATGGCTGGGCACGTCGAAGTGGAGGGGGCCGAGCTGGGCACTGCTAGTGCTAAGCCCAGGAAGCTGTACGGTACGTGTGCAAAGGAATCCAGTCTAGACACGCTGGAGCTCCACGACACGGCAGGGGGTAGGCGGTACCGCAGCAGTGTGGGAACACAGGAGCCTGTGCGAACAGTCAGCATTTCCCATCCTGCGTGGCTGGCTGGGGAGCAGAACTGCCCGCAGAGTCGCACGTGGTGGTTCTCACAAATACGCCAGAGGTGTTCAGGTCAGGCGGGACCCAGGTGTATTGCAATGGCCTGGTGGAGAAGGGCAGGTGGGAAGGCCCGGGAAAAGCTCGCCAGATGTGAGGTCCAGATCGTGAGCCTTACGGTGTCCCTGGCCAGGACAACGGATGGAAGTGGTCGAGTGCTCCCGCCCTGACAAGGGATTTGGCTTTAGAGGATCCACCACAGAGGCAGCATCTCCCCCAGGGCCCCATGCCCCCGGGGAGCCACGGCCAATTCCACCAGCTGCTGCTTCTGACGCTGAATCTGGCCCTGCCATCTCCCCTGGCCCCAGCAGGAGAGCGGCGCATCTGTCCCTGCAAACTGAGATGTGGCCCTGGCGCACGCCCAATGTTTCCTGGCTCCTGTGGAGGGAGGCGTAGGCGGAATTCTCAGCGGAGAAGGCCTAGCGCCTCTGACGATGGTCTCCTGAAAGGGGGGCAGGGATGGTCCCAGGGGTCACCTGGGCACAGATGGA